CCTATGAGTAAAATTTTCAAAAAAACACTTTATTGTGTTTTTACCACCCCTGTAGCACAGTTGTCTCCAATGGGCATGATTATAGCAAAATCAAATTCTTTATCCTCACTCCTTTGTTTAATGTTAGTGATGTATTTGTCATAGTTATAATAATAGTGATCAGAAAAAATCCATTAATATTTAAAATTGATTTTAAAAGGCACTTCCAGGTTCAAACACCCCTGAAAATTTAAGGTAACAGGGAATTGCATTGGATTTAGGCATTTTTTCTTGTGCATAGCACTAAAGTTATTATTCCTCAATAGCAGTGCCATGCAGTTCCAAACCTAAACAAAGATATCATTAGATCATTTAGACACTGATTCCCTTTTTTTAACACTTCCAGATACATGGCTGAAAAGTACATTAAGTATGAGCAGTACATGTTCTTTATCACTGAGCAAATAGAGGCCAATACATGGGCCTAAGCTCACTTAGACCTGTGTTCAAAGTGTTACATAGCTCTTTTATGCCATAATCCATCAGCATTATCTTCCTTCGAAAGCAGCATTTTTTGCTTCAAGTTCCATAATATTCTTGTGCTAAAAGTCACTTGCAGTTAGCATTGCAGCTAAAGAGGTACCTGCCTATTTCTTAGTGTGTTTTATGACAGGAAAGACAACCTATTACAGAAAAAGTAAATCCTGAAATACATACAGTAAGCTTATTTTTGTGTCTTATCTGATATGTTATCAATGAGCATCTCAGAAGACGTTTTTTTCTCCCTCATCAGTCATCTTGAAAACAAAACCCAGCGAGGACAGATGGTTGTGTTTGTGTGTCTGCATTTTTGTTAGAGGAAAGAGTGTGGGGGTTAATGGATAGCAAAGGAGTGGAAAGGGAAAGGACATGGCTTGTCTCCTGGTCTTTGATTCGAGCCTTGTTCATCCAATGGATCAGTGGCCCCCAGCGAGAAGCCGCAGGCAGCACTGCCTGGCAGCACGCGTTGGCTCAGCGGGGCTGCTTGGCTGCTCGCCTTTGTCTGCTCACCCACCCCATGGGCTGAGCACCTACTGTCACTCACTGCCCTTCCTCTCATTTAAACAAGTGTTTTTATGATAGATACAAGCATAATTATAAATAAATATTCTCTCACACAGGCACAGTCACAGAGGGAAGGAAAGCGTTCAGCAGGACTGAACTCATCCTTGATGGAAGTCTGCTATGTCAAAGCATTAGTGCCATAGGCACACTCAGGTAAAAGGGGCCTATCCATCTTTGGCAAGTTCATTCAGAACAGAAAAATCCCATAGTCTGAAATGGGATTCTTCTGTAACCCTTCTACAAGTTATCATTGTCTGCTCAGCCACAGGGGCAAGGAGAAACAAAACAGTATTTGGGATGATCTGGAGAATATAACTCCACAATCTGTTTGCAATTTGAGAGAGAATTACTAAACCAACCAGAAGCAGTTGCTTTTCAAAGCCACATACACTGTGGATTCAGGAAAGTCACAGAAATTATACATTCAAAACACAACTTGTCCCAGAGCCACTCTGGGTGCTTGGTACAGCTTTAGAGCTGGTGAGGTATAGGCTTGCAAGCAGAAACTCTGTGTTTTCTTAGTCTTGGTCAACACAAAGTAAAGTTCAAGAGAAGGGGAAAACCTGTACTTGAGAAAAGGTTAAAAGAAATAGTGCTTCCTATTTGAAAGTTCCTTAGACCCACCTAATAAACAGGAAGTTTGGCATTCACAGCCAACAGTCACAGTAAGGGACTACAAAACATACACAGTCTTAACGTATCAGACTTGGGAGCAGGTTTAACTGATTTAGGAATCAGTACAACAGATCTTATTGCTGGACATAGGAAAATGTTCAAAGAATTTGGATTCAGGGTGGCTCTTCATAGACAGTGAATACCAACAACTTATTAATTTGGTTTGTGCCTATTTAGATTCCAGAAACTAAATTGTCACATGGCAGCCTTTGTGGGTTATGATTTCTGCCTCTGGCTAGCAAGGGACTCTTATCTGATGGATAATAACAGGTTTTTATTTCCTTGATCATCACTCAGCTGAATTAGAACCATACAATATATCCTTAGCAACACAATTATTTCAAGCACATCAAGCTTTTCTCCTGCTTATGGCAGGTTGTAAAATTGTGATCTTTATCTAAAATCAATATATAATAACATTACATACATATAGCCCCCACAAAGTATTTTTAAAAAATGCCCTTAAACCTTCCTGTAGACACTGCACTGCCCATACTTTTTCATACAGAACAGACAAAACACCCTACAACAAGTGATGGCTTCAAACTAAAAGAGAGTAGATTTAAATTAGCTATTTGGAAGAAATTATTTACTGTAAGTGCAGTGAGACACTGGAAGAGGTTTTCCAGAGTCATTGTGGATTTCCCATCCCTGGAAGTGCTCAAGGCCAGGTTGGGCTTGGATGAGCTTTGAGTAACCTGGTCTAGTAAAAGGTGTCTCTGCCTGTGGCAGGGGGGTTGAAACCAGACAGTCTTTAATATTTCTTCCAACTCAATTTGGTCTATGATTCTGTGCTTCTAACAGATGTTTAGACATGTTTCTTTATACTTTGCTCTTCCAGTTAACCATTAAGAATATAATTTTTAAAAAGAAATCCAGATTTCCTCTCTGCTTTGTACAGCATCAGACTGACAAATGCTCAGGGGACTAAAAATTGTACAGCACTTAATGGCTCACATAGAAAGCCTGAAGATTGAGGTGGTAATCAAAGAGCCTCTTCTCTAATATTAAACATACAAGGCTTGTGTCCTTCACTTCCTCCCATAAAACATGCTGATGGATTTTACTTGTGAACTGTCTCTGCTTTGCAGAGGCGAGAAGGCAAGGAGAAGCTCAATGGAGGCTCTTTTCTTCTGTTCAGTGTTGCTGTCACTGTGCAGCCACTGCAAACAAATCACTTAAAAACTCATTCAGAAAATTACAGTTGCTGAGGGACAGAATGGGTCAGGTGAGAGGTGATAGGAAACAGCTAAAAGTTTCTCTCTTGCTCAAAATCTATTTGAAGGTCTGTAAACAGATTTTTAAAAGTTAGAATACTTTGGTCATCAAGAGGACTACTTGCCATATTTGAAAATAAAATTATTCAAAGAAAAAAATCATCAAATGAAAGTGAAAAGGGTAAAAGGAAAAGGTTAAAATATCTTCCTAATCAAATGATACCGCAATACGCCTCTCAGCAAGGTTGTTTCTTTTTTTTTTCTTTTTTTTTTCTTTTTCTTTTTTAAACTTGTATCTTTTGAAAACAGTGCACAGTTTTACTCAACCATGTATCAACACTGAAAATCATAAGAGTATCCCTTGATTATTTCATGAGAAAATAAATTGGACAAATAATATGCCAGATTGTAGAATAGGTTTATAGGTTAAATCTATTTGGGTCCTTACAGACCTTTGAGTTGTACAATATATTGGATGAAATGCAGCCTATGACCTGAGGGGAGTTGCTTACTACTGGTTACATATTGCAAAAGTAGATCAACTGTGGGCTGACTTATTTTCTATTTTGTTTTTTTTTTTTCATAACTATTAGGAAAGCATACAATCTGACCTTTAAAGTAATTTTTTTCTCTAAAACTTGAAAAGTAATTTTAGTTTAAAAAATAAGAAAAAAAAGGAAAACTAATTTTAAAATCTCAAAAACTGCTTTGAAAAGGTACTGTAGTCCTTCAGCCAGCTATATTATACCCAAGACAAAGGCATTTGGCATACCTATATTGATTTACCATACTGATATTGATTTTGCATCTAGAAAAATATAATAACATGTTTCAAGCAGATAAACTCTATGTAGAAAAAGGATTAAATAATAGCACAATATCCAGTATTCTGGCTATACGTATACTTTGATTTCAAAATCAGTAATAAGAATTTACAAGTTAAAAAACACTAAGAAATTAATTAAGAACTTACAAACAGTGCAGTCTCTACTGCAGTGGATATTGAGGGACTGCTAGAGAACTCAGCACTTAGTGATGTTACTTTACTAGCAGTGCAATATTTAGTACAAAGGACCCTAAATAACCAATATTTAGTACAAAGGACCCTCATTCTCCTTTCCCTTCCTTAATATTTTTTCCTCCTTATTGCCAAGATACAATACACAAACAGGCAATCATCCAAATGGCAGTGGCTGTAAAAAGGAAATACACACATATTTATAATTGTTAATTAGCTCCATAACTAGAACCCTTCTGTATACTTGCAAAGCTACCCTGGGGCATCATGAGTCCCCTAAAGCCATGCAGGAGGAAGGAGGTGTTTGAGGCAGGGTTCACTGCTGGGGAATTCTCCATCTGGTTCATGTTGTCACATTTTGTGTAGTTGTGTACAGCTACGGATCTGCTTCTGAGGAAGCAGAGACATCGCACTGGGGAGGCAGAGGAGCAGATCAAAAACACAATGGGTTCATCCAGAGATTCAAAGTTTTGATGAAACCAGAGTACAAATGACCCAGCCTGTGATTTAGATGCATGTTCAAAATGTTTTCTCCTTACAAATGGAGTATTCCATAAAACCCTGCCTGCTGTTCATTAAGTCAGATGCTGATGAGGAAAGGAGCAGTCCCTACAGCAGAGCTTTGCTCCTGCTGAGAGATTCACACAGCCTGAGGATGGGATGTTGCCACTCTCCAGGTGCACCAGCACATGTCCAGGGCAGAGTAATCCTAAATCCAGTCCTTGCAAAGTGTCAGGAGAACCTTTTCTATATGCTAAAATTTTATCAGTCAAAAGAAAGGACTGTCCAATAGGTAGTTTGTTCTTTGATCTTTTTGATTACTGCTTACAAGATCATAAAACTTAGGCATCATCAGAAATATGCATTTACATTTTTACATTACATTTTACATAGGCATCAGTAAGGTCCCCTCTGGGTCACCTCTTCAGGCTGAAGAGATCCCTCAGCCTGTACTCATAAGAAAAATGCTCCAGCCCCTTCATCATCTTTGTCACCCTCCACTGTACCTGCTCGAGGAGCTCCATGTCTCTCCTGTTCTGGGGAGCCCAGAGCCAGACACAGATGTGCCTCATCAGGACTGAGTAGAGGGGGAGGATCACATCCCTACAATAAACATAATAGAAAAGTCTAGTGTAAATTATAGGCCACAAGCCCGAGTTCTGAATTTAAAATTTTGCAGAGAAATGAAGCTTAGAGTCCCTCTGTAGCCACAGTGCCAATGCCAGCTGTTGAGTTTTCACAGAATACATAAACCAGGGAACATGTGTGGTTCATGTAATGGACCTGCCATTTTTATTAGGCCACAATTTCTTTTTCCTTGCAGATCATTCAATCTTTTTAAAAAAAAAAAAAAAAAAAAAAACACACACACACAAAAAAAAAAAAAAAACAACAACAAACGAGGGACTGGCCACTGGCCTACTTGGTTTTAATATTTCTTCTTTTTTAAACAAAATATATGTTGAATAATTAAAAAGTAACCAGATGCATTATAAGATTAGCACAGTTAACCTTGGAAAAAAAATTGTGGTCTACAGCCACCCAAACTTGCTATACTCATCAGCCTCAGATTACAGTTTTGCATAGTAATTCTACTGTAAATACTTAAATAATGCAAGGAAGTTTCATGAGTAAGACTGCTGATGTATTGCAGTAACAGACTCCCTGCTGTCTCTGTCAGCCAGGCAATCTTGATTACTATTCATCAAAAAGTTTCCATGGAAATAAAAGATGATGATTCCAGTACTGCATGAGAAATTTTTAATTTCCAATATTTAGTCATATTAACAGTGCTCAGGTTATGTATTAATATGTGAATCTGTTGCATTTGTGGAAGTCAAGCAAGACTCTTGGGACACAGTATTGCAGAAAGCTAGGGAGGATGAAGAACTTTTCACTTACAAGTTTTTAAAAACCTTATCTGGAAAAACAAGACGGTGTGTTGGTGATGCTTTTGATTTAGGTTTATCAACCTGATATACCTCAGGCATGTGGGATCAAAGGTTACAGAAGACTGATGTCAGAATGATCAATAATACTAAGGGGACACTAATGAGAGTATCTTCTGCAAGTATACAGTTGGTCTTTTATGCCCATGGGTGCCTAAAAATAAAGAGGCAGTAATTAATCTCTTTATTAACTAGCAATTGTTTACAACATACAGCAAAGGGGCATCTTGTCAGCAGGAAATCATTTGCTGAGAATAATGGACTGTGAGCTGGAGATCTGGCCAGGATTGCTTGGCTACTGTGCCTAGACCACACAGGGAGGCCTTTTAGAGTTTTGATCTGATTGGAGCACTCTTTTTCCCCCCAGTGTTCTGATGAAAAGCCTTTTTGGCTGTTCTGGCTGTGAAGCTTGATTTGAAGTCTGACATGGATCTGAAATCACACAAAGGAAGCAGGGCCAACCTTTCTACTCCTAGGGTCACTGGGAGGGAATCAAATACCCTGGTCTTGCACCAAAAGAGAGCTGTTAAGTTGCAGGTTGAAAGCTATAGGTCAAAGGTTTTAAACTCTTGCTCTCAATAATACGGTCCTGCCTGGCTAGAAAACTCATTGCTGAATTTTTAGTGTCTGTTTACCCTCCAGGAATAAAAAGCACATCAGTTTGTTTCAGAAATGTGAAATTGATTTCAGAAGACTAGGTGGGAAAAAGCAAGACTTGCTTGCTTTTCATGCAAGTAAGACAACTAAAACTCTATATTATGCATTAACAACCCTATATTATTAGCAGAAAATTCTAAATCCATATTAATTTTCTAAGTATATGATCAGATTTTAAAGATATTTAGCAATTTTATTTATATATCATATTTTTTTTAAATGGTGTTAAAGTTCCAGGTGGTAGTAACTTTCACATCAAAATAAGTAGTTTTCACATTTAAATAATGCATGCATGGTTTTCTGATTTTAAATATTTGTTTTTCCAATAGTACAATTCATCACAAAAACTTTAGTGACATGAATTCATAGCTGACTTCTTGTCATACAGTCAAAAGTCTGTCCTGCATTAATTTAATATTTTTAACAGGGGTCTGTGGACAGAAAAAAGAATCAAAATGGAGGTTTTTTTCCTTTTCTCCACACATTTTCTATCAGGTTGTATATGTTTTTGAGCAGTAATTTCAAAAATTACTCCATACAGGTTCAGCCAAGAATCCAGTCAAGGAATATTAAAGATGTAGGGTAGACAGCCTTTTACAAAATATGCTGTTCACCTCAGTATTTCATACATCTGCAAAGAAGAGTGGGAAGAAGTATATCACTAGCCCTAAATATAGAATAGATGTACTATGAAAGGACATACTGGACTTTTAGGAAACTTTATAAAGACCTTAAATTAACTCCTTCTTTGAAACTCACAAATCCTAGAAAGCTCTCAGGAAGACTAAGAACCTAGGAGCCTGATGGCTTAACAGCTCCACTAACTTTCCCTTCCCATTGCAATGTGTTCCCTTTCCACGTACCCTGTCAGTCTGGCTTTGTGCTAGGCATGAACCAGGTTCTCAAGGATAATCAAATTTCATATATTTAGGCACAAATAATTGCACGCTATGCACAGAGTGCATGCACCAGGATTGTTTCTTAGAAAGAAGGTATCAAAATACCTGAGCCCATCATGCAGGCCACATATTCAGCCTCTGACCTCCCATGATAGGTAAAGTCTCGTTTACAACTAATCTCAATTTCATTTACATATCCGAGTATCACTTAATTTACCTCTCAAGTATCTTCTCAGTGGAACTGCATTAGCAGGTCTCAGATCACAGCCCAGCCTCCTGCTAGCAAGCTGGTATTGGGTCTCTCCAACCACAACTAAAGCCACTTTCCTTTACTGAAGCTACACATTCGACCTGGACTTTAAAGACTCCTCAACCTGCAGCAGTCCAGCAACACTGAGCAGTGACTTGCTTTCTCTGGAACTTTGACAGTTTCTAAAAAATTGCATAATCTTGAGTGACATTGTATTCTCACAGCAATCAGCACTACAACAGTCAACAATATAAAAGCTTTATGGAAAAGTGTTGCAGCCAACCCTTCTTAAATTCAAACATTCCTTTGAAATGTTTATAAGTATTTACAGTACAAAGATAACCAACCATGCAGAATTTGAACCATATGCATTTCTATGCTGCCTTTGGCAAGGACCAGTTTAAGATGAAGGTAACATTAAATAAATTAAGAGGTTTTGTGCGACCATGGCAGCACAAACTGAATTATGAAACAAATATGAAATTTTCAATTTTCAAACTGTTAGAAATGTCTGTCTCATTTCTGCCCAGCATTCCTCCTGACAGCTCCTGCATCATTCAACAACCACAACCCAGAAGGGTGTACGGAGAGGCTGTCATTTGGGTCAACGAAGTGCTCACAGAAGAAAGACAGCAATTTTACCTGCTATCACCACCCACCAAAAAACATGCTTGTTTTATCAGAAGTGGCTGGGCACCAAAGAAGACCTCACTGGCTCATTTGGAGATTGCAAGGCAAATGGCAAACTCCATGAGGCAAATGGTAGCCACTGAATGGGAGACAAACTCAGCATCTGTTGGGATGACAGGGATGGAGAACAGCCTGTCAGGTCACCTATAGCACCAATAGCAGCACCATAAGGAATAAACAGCTATCTGTAATCACCACGGTCAGATGGATGCCAAGAAATGAAACAGAGGAATCACCAGGAATCTATGAGTATAGAAAAAAAATTATGTATCAGATCCTAAAACATGATATATTTTGGGCAACAGGAAAATGATGACTTTGACAACAACGTGCTGCAGCTTCTTGGTAGCTGGTTCTTGGGTAGGATGCAGGACAGATGGGACAATGAGGTATTGGATAACTATCCCTGTCCTTCACACATGAGGTGTCTGAAACTGTATGTTAATGAAAGCAGCCTTCATCAACAGAGTCCACTAATTGATCCTGAAGACTAAGGCTGTGCACTCTCTGAGCAGCCTCCCTAACAGAGAAATCACTTCTGAGGACCTGAGCCCTTGTGCACAAGATGTGAGTTAGGTTACTCTTACATGTTGTCTGGGGCACAGTTTAAAACACTGCTTTGGTCCATTTGGAAGAGAAGGAGCTCACATTAGAGGTGACTCAGATTTAGACTCTCCTCAGATTTAGATCCATGGGCTGTAATTATTAATTATTCTTTCTCTGCCTTCCTCTTCATCACACTAATATATGCCATTTATTGCACCTAAAACATGAACCTAGAAATGTCTAAAGAAACACTGACATTTCAAGCTTAAAACAATATGCAGTGTTGACTGATATTAAGAGGGCTCCTGGCATATTGAAGAGCTACTTGTAGACTTTGGGCACTTTAAATCATAAACAGAGAAGTTATATAAAACCAGTTAACCAGTTATATAAAACCAGTTAATATTAGATTAACTAGTGGTAAGATTGGGAAACTTTATCTTGAAAAACTTTGAAATTAATTTTAATTAAAATTTTTAATATTACAAAGGAAAGGAATATTTGGGAAATTCTGTGTATTGCCAAAAAAGGCATAAAGGAAGGATCAAGTGATCAACTACATGTAGCTGCAGTTAAAAGTGGGTCATTACGCATTTTCTAAATTAAAAATTAAAAGTAACATTTTTCACAGACTGTTGCATATCTTCTAGCTGAAGCTCTTACACTTTATTTAAGTTATATGTGCAATTTTATACTTCCTATTTTATAAAAAGAAATAGCAGGTTTCCAAAAATGGCTAAACATGTTAAGACTATATTTACAGTTTCTGATGAGGTGAGAAGAAGCGATAGAGGCTTTGACAATTTGGAAAGCAGGTAGTGTGAATAAAAAAAAAAGTCCAGAATCTTTAGCTGCTCCCTCAGAGAAATGCAAAGAGCCTGTAGATGATAAGAGATGGGATATTAAATTAGCATCTCACATGTAAAATAAGAATGGCAGCTCCAGGTTACCTATAAGGTGTGAAGATTAATTAATGGATGTTTGCATTCTTTGTTGAAGATGTAAGACACTGCATAAGTGCTAAGCATTACTACAAAGAGGAATTTTCAGACCTCGGTACGTTCAGTTTACATAGTATAAATTACTTTATATTTCTGCTAAATAATTCTCCAG